ATTCTGTAAGGTCAAGTATATAATAATTTTTGCACCATTTGTTTAATTTTATGAAACTATCATTATACAAATAAAATTAAACACTTACTTTATAAGGAGCTAATATTAAATATTACACAATAATACTGTAAAAGGCAACATTCATTCAGATGTTATACTTGAGAATTCCAATATGAGTGCATAAGGAAATCAGCAAAAGTGTGTTATGCAACAATCTTTATTTAAATAAGTTACATATTTGATAAAAATACAAATATTTGTTTTGTAGTTGCTAATGAATTAGTTGATGACGTTGTGGAAGAACAATTAGATTTGGAAGAAATCAGACTAACAAAGACTCAAAATGAATCATTGTGCACAGAACCACAGCTTGGAGAAGAATCACATTCCACAACTTTGGTTGGACTGTCATCTATTGATGATGCAACTTTAACACAACATGCACTGGAGAACCTCCAAAATTGTGATGCTTTTGAGATGAATACTTTCCAAGGTTTGTGAGTACTATAAAGTCTACTTGTACTTGTCAGTCTTTTTATGAAAAAGATTTTCTAGTTACATAGTATGGAAGAAAAATATCCACTAATTTGATGTTCAATTAATATTTCATGAAATGATGAGTGGGTATTGTGATGATGGTGCGAAATACCATTGGGAATTCATTTAAAGAAAGTGGATGAATGGAATTTGAAAATAGAACAGTCAGAAATAATGTGGCTTATCACCCATATTTACTATATTAAGTGTTGTACATTGCAGGTGAAAGTTCTGAAGGGGCTACTTTTGTCCCAGAAAGTATGACAAATGAGGTTATGGAGCGAGAAGTGTTGCTTATTCATCATTGTAATGTGAAAGCTGACTTGCTGCACTATTTTGAAAAAGGTGATATTTTAAAGAAGTGTGTGAATGTCAAGATGATAGATTCCAGAGGTGTTGAAGAAAAGGGCGAAGCCGTCGGCGTTTTCAGGGATGCATTTTCTCTGTTTTGGAATGAAATATATAATAGTTTCTTGTTAGGCGAGGATGAAGGAGCCCCAGAGAAGTGGCAAGCGATAGCTAGAATTCTTGTGAATGGTTACACTCAAGAACGCTATTTTCGAATCAAAATTTCTCGCGTTTTCTTGTGCTCCTGTCTTTTTGGCGAAGATTATGTCTCAGAAGATATGTACCTGAGTTCCTTTATGAAGTATGTTTCGACCACTGAGTCTAGTGTGGTTAAAAATGTACTTTCTCATTCTCTTGCAGTTGATGATGAAGATGTACATGATTTCTTAACAGCGTTTGAGTGCCAAAAATCTAGCGTTTATACGGCGTTTGCCGTATAGCTTTTTCCCCTCGGTGTTTTGCCGTATAGCTTTTTCCTCGGTGTTTGTGGTATATATATATTTTCCCTCGGTGTTTTGCCCTATAGCTTTTTCCCTCGGTGTTTTGAGGTATATATGTTTTCCCCTCGGTGTTTTACCGTATAGCTTTTCCCCTCGGTGTTTTACCGTATAGCTTTTTCCCTCGGTGTTTTGCCGTATATATGTTTTTCCCTCGGTGTTTTGTCGTATAGCTTTTTCCCTCGGTGTTTTGTCGTATAGCTTTTTCCCTCGGTGTTTTGCCGTATAGCCTTTTTCCCTCGGTGTTTAGCTGCCGGAGGTATTATGCATTCCAGGTCGAAAATCACGCATATGTTTGTGTTTTTAACAATCTTATAAAAATTTGCACAAAAGCTGCTTTTTTATCCGCCTCGAAATCATCCCGAAGGTTTGCTGTTTTTATATAACCTAAACTCTTCGATATTTCAGGCATTTTTCGTCCGTACGTATTTACAAGCTTATAATGAAACGAATGAAATCACGTTAGACGAGATTGAAAAAGTTATTGACGAAGCTGACAGGTAAATTTTATAACAATCGTCCTCTTATATTAATATAGTGCAAGATAAATTTTTAAAGTTCTTTTTTAGGTTTCTATGGGTACGTATGTCTTGACTGATTCACTGACGTAGTTCTCGTTTATTTAAGGCTCAGTTAAATCAGTTTAGAGTTTACTGACACCATTTAGGTCAGTTTTAGGTATACCTAGGGCTTGTCAAGTTATAACTGATGCAATTAATACAAAACTGTTCAAAGCAATTCTCTTTTTTATTACATCGCCTATTCAATTACTCTTTTAACCATTGTACGCAAGTGGTTACATATTGGTGTCGGTTTTATCTTTCTGTGAATAAATGTTTTAATTTTACGTATGTTTAAAAAAATTTCTAATATAACATCATTCAGCTTTGTTTTCCTTTTTTCTACAGGTTGTCTCTTCTTTCTCATTTCTTTTGAGCGATGTTTTCAATTCCTCAAAATTATAAATCCTCGTTCAATTTTGGTTATCTCGTAAGTAGATGAACAGTTAAATAGTGTTGTTTACCGTTAGATTTATATCACGTGACTGAATTTGTCTTTTTCTTTGTTGTATTGTCGTACCGTGGTATTGTATCCTACGGTGGCCGGTACGGGTCATCAGAAAAATAATTTAAGAAACATAAAAAAGAATAAGAAAACATCACTCAAAATCATACTACACATTTCAAAATACTCACTACACATTTCAAAATACTCACTACACATTCGTCCCAGTCTTACCCTGATCTGGCCTGCCCACGGTCATCACTAGTTTCCATCTACGAAACTGACATGACATTATAAAGTAAGCATATTAAATATATAATTCCGAATTTCACAAGACAAACAAAATGGGACATTGGGATAATAGCATGAAAATATTGGCTGAACTCTAATCAGAAATTCTTCCAGGGTTTTGCTGGTCTTGGTCGGGCAACAACATTAGACGATCTACATATCGCCAGCAAATGTATTTGCAGTGGCTTTCGACACATGTCCGTACTTTAATAGCAAAAATTTGAGTATATGAATTTGCATTCGCTAGGTCGCGTACGTACTTGTGTGATGTGTTACAAAAATAACAAGGAAACCAAAGAGGAAATTTACACGTTTCCAACCCAATACCAGTCACGTCAATAAGTGCATTAGTTAAACTAATGATTGTCGAATATCACCAATACAAATACAATTACATGCAATCTGTAGATTGACCACTCATGTTGTGTTTTCTAACTAAGACCAAGAAATCCCTGGAAGAAACATTACTAATAGTTCATGTACGCGTATCGCATATTTTGATGCTATTGTGGTGATATGTTTGTCTATGTGCCGAATTCCAAATAGACAATATATCGCCACAATAGCATCAAAATATCCTTACGCGTACTGAACTATTAGTAATATCGGAAGCGTATATGTATATCAGCTTTCTGCCATCACGTCAATTTCGTATATGTAAACTAATGACGACCGTGGGCAGGCCAGACCAGGGTAAGACTAAGACGAATGTGTAGTGAGTATTTTGAAATGTGTAGCGAGTATTTTGAAATGTGTAGTGAGTATTTTGTAATGTGTAGTGAGTATTTTGTAATGTGTAGTGAGTATTTTTAAATGTGTAGTGAGTATTTTGAAATGTGTAGAGTATTTTGAAATGTGTAGTGAGTATTTTGAAATGTGTAGTGAGTATTTTGAAATGTGTAGTGAGTATTTTGAAATGTGTAGCGAGTATTTTGAAATGTGTAGCGAGTATTTTGAAATGTGTAGGAGTATTTTGTAATGTGTAGTGAGTATTTTGAAATGTGTAGTGAGTATTTTGAAATGTGTAGTGAGTATTTTGAAATGTGTAGTGAGTATTTTGAAATGTGTAGTATGATTTTGAGTGATGTTTTCTTATTCTTTGTTATGTTTCTTAAATTATTTTTCTGATGACCCGTACCGGCCACCGTAGTATCCTAAACAACATTTGATATTTTTAAAATACCATATCTTATGACTATTCTAAATCGAACAATGTTAGAAATGTGTACCACGATATCATGATCTTTTTGCATATAGTGTGCGTTATTTCTTCACAAACATTTTGTGTAAATGCATGGTCTTTTGCACTAAGTTCTTTCCATGTGGATTTGTTCAGAACAGATGTTAGTTTGCAATAAGTGTAAACGCGGTTATAGATGGTGTGCAACCAATCTCTTTGGAAGGAACAAGATTGCTGACGAGCCAGATAATAAACAATTGTTTGGATAAGGTTAGCATGATATCAAAAATTATTCAGATCAAGGTCATTGTTATCTGCAGAAGCAAAGCTGAAGCAGATAACGTTGACGAGGTCTGAACAATTTTTAAAGTCATAGCTACGAAAACCGAGTTCAATAATTGTTTTATTGTTCACTTTAACTAACTGAAATGTTATCAACACAAATCAATATAAAATATTTTTAAAACCTTCGCTAATTTGTTTTTGTCAGCTGGTTTATTTAAGTTCGTCCCGTTTGAATATGTTGTAAACATGCTCAAAATCATCTTTGCCGCTTTTTTTGTGTTTTCTGGATGCTTCTTGTTTAAAAGCTTTTACATCGCTTTTAGAAACTGTGGAAAACATCGCTATGATTTGACTTTTTTTCAAAACCGGCTTTTAATGGCGTCCATAATTGTAGAAACTGTTACTTGTTGACTGTTACTAACTGAAATTGTAGACGTCCTACCTCCAGATATCTAGAATTATTTGCAGGTAGTTGACCAATCAAAAGCAACATTGCTTACATATTGAATAATGATGTAAGATAATTGCATGAAATGCATGATACACCAAGATTGCGTGAAACGTGGAGAAAATATAGAATTAGTTACTTACAGAGCAACATCTCATTAAAAAAATGAGTGAAATGACGTAACATTAGAATCATATAGTTACCTAAATCAGCTCTAATTTTTAGGGAAAATATTAGAAAGTTATTATTTCACCACAGCATTTTTAACAATTTTTTCAACGCTTTTTTAAATGATAATGATTATAAATGTTCTTAAAAAGACGTAAAAGCTAAAATTTTTTTATTATATGTTGAAAGTTTCATTGCAAATAATGATCAAATTTATAACATCACAGTCTTTGGAAATTCTTTATGGTTTTATTTTCATCTCAGTGAACTTTAAGGATTTATAACGTGTCCAATGATAGCAAGTCATACCCTCAAAGCTGTCTTGGTTGCCACTAATGTAGCGCCCATTCGGGTTGGAATCAGAACAGCTCTGATACCACCAAGCCCCTTTGGCGTCAAAAGCACAGTTTCCTCCATTTTTTATCGCTGCCATTATGTCTGGATAATGAATCCCCAGCTGTTCCTAAGAAAAGTAATTTTCCTCAGAAAAATTTTACGTCATTTAGCTAATGTTCTCATGAAATTCTCCTTAACAATTGCAGAAAATGCCCAACACGTGTTTTATGTCGTTTATAGACGATTTTAAGATGTTTTTAATGGTCATTTGTTTAGAAGGGTTTTATGAGATTTGTCAATTACTTTGTTTGATTTAGTTTATAGAGTGAAAAAAGAAGTGGTATAAATACCGAAATGTATTACAATTCTGAGTTTCATTAGATATATTCAGTAGCATTCTGATACAATTTTATACAAAGCTAAAATCGAATTTCATTGGTTAATTTTAGTGGAAGCTACAACCACAATCATGCATAATGTACTTGCTAACTGTAAGTTAATATTTGCTACCGTTTATAATATAGTTGTTGTTGTTAATATATTAAACCATTTATCCTTCTCAAAATCAAAGAAATAAATCGCAAAAATAAAAGTTGTCTACTCGTTAGCTAGCTACATGTCATAAAGAGATTTTTAACTTTTTTTCACCCCACCTTCATTCCCCTGAACTTTTTTTCTGCATCCAGTCTATTCACATTAGTCATTAATGTTAACCGGCCTAATTTTTATTGTATGATAGATTTTCAAAAATTTGTGTATTTACTTGATGGTGTACCTGGGTATTTTCCAAGGCTTAAATGATATTTATGTGTTTCATTCTTATAAATGAAAATTCTCCATGTAAACTTGAATGAATTTCAGTAACGTTTTAGGTTGTTGTTATAAGTTCGTGAAAAACCTATATTTTTAGAACAAGTTATCATAGATAAATCATTTACAATTAGTTCCAACTGGCTAACATGAATGCTTGCGTTTTTTAAAAAAGATTTTAAGAATGATTACTTGACAATGGTTTTCACAGTATAAATTCTCTCTTATGTACCAAATGATTTAGTGTGTTTTCACAACCATTTCATGATCTCTTCTTGCATGTCAAGAATTGTTGTCGCGTGGTGCAACTGAATGATTCACACGAGAGAATGATTTTTACTTAATTGTTGTTCCTTGTATTTTAAGGTAAGATTGTCGATTCAAAATGAATTATCATACTTTTTAAAACAAACAAGACTTCAGTTCAATAGCAACCGTTACTATCTGTGTTGTTTTCAAACTCACGCTTAGAAATTTCGCCGTTTATATTTACGTATTGACTTCACCAGAATATGCTCCATGACTTAGTTGATATTTTTTACTTTCATTCTTTACAGCAAAATAATCATATTCAGCATATGCTTTGTTTCCTGACCAGTCTCCCAGGTCAACACGAAGTTTATTTCTCTTGGCTGATGTTAGTCGGTATATTTTATCCAATCCAAGCCAGAATTCGCCTTTCAGATCACCAAAACCATTCTTATAATCCCTCCAATCTCGATAAAAGTCTACACTTCCATCTTGACGACGTTGAAACACAGTCCAACCTCCACCAGATGACGTCATATCACAGAAGAAACTGAATGTGCCCTGGCCATCTGGATCAATTACATAAACTCCGTTCTTTTTTTCACCTTTTTTGTAAAGATCTGCACAGTTTTTTTCCTAAAAAAAGTTTTATTAAAAAGGTATTGCAATGTACGTCTTATGGGTTTATAACTCATTAAACCTATAAGCAAATTGCTACACAGCTTTCCTGCGCATAGATCCATTGTGCTAAATAACTATTTTGTACATTTTATAATTCAATGTAAACACAAATTAGCAATGAAATTGACTCAATATCATTATAATTGCATTCTTGTCCTTGAAATCAGGAGAATTTCAGTAACTTAAAAGATGAATTTCTTTCATAGTGATTCTGTGAGCTGTGGCGTGTTTGATTTATTGTAGAAAACAAATATATCTTCTGATATTGTCAGTATCGTTTGGTTGTCTGAACGTACATGATGCAGAGCATGTTTAAATAGAACGGTTGGTAACAAAGGCTTGTTATAATGAAAGATGCATTCAACGTCTTCTACCGTAAACTTTCATTAAAAGAACACAAAACCTGTTTGAATTGGTCAAATTGAGTAGAAACAAAATCACACTTAAACATTTTGGAATTTTACATTTTATATTAGAAATTCACCAATGCGCACTTTCCATACATAAATCAGTTATATTATTATTAAACATTATTTAGGATGCTACAGGCGTGGCAAAGATGGTTAATGGACTACCATTCCGATTTAAAGACAATATTCTTTATTAGATTAAAGCCCAAATTTTTATTTAGGTAATGTTATCATATTTTTAATATTAGTGATTGACAATTAAGCAGACAAATTGAATGATATCAACTGATTCTAAACATCAACTGATGTTTTTATTGATGAAGACTTAGCGAGCATTTCAGTGATCATTAATATATATATATCTTAATAAAGGAATAACACAAATCTTTTCATGTGCAAGATTCGTCAACACTCCTTACTGTCTCCGATAAAATTGAAATTTATTTTTTGTTCAACTGACAAACGAAACTCCATTTCATTGCCAATATAAATGTAATGAGTACATAACTTTCCACCAGCTATATTTTCAAAATGACGCTGGTATTTTATATTACATTATATTAAAAACGCAAGAAAGGATAATATTTATCATGCATTGCTTTATAACAATATGCTCTAATCAATGCAGAACAAAAGAAGACCTAAAAATAAAAATATGTCGGTAGGATATTATGAGGGTTTGCAAGAAGATGATTTCGAAAACGTACACTTGATCAGGCTAACAAAAATTGAGCAAAATTTTCTTTTTAAAAGAACTTTAAGTCAGATTTAATATAGTTTTGCACAACACTTACCTAGAGAAAATTAGCGTGAATTATCAATTATTTAAAATTAATCCAAATGCCCACTTAAGAAACATTTTCCAATCAACTAGCTAATTTCTTTATTCTTACCGTCGGTAGTAGACTTTGATAAAAAGTCCATTTTCCTTCTGAGGCAACTTTCGTTAAATTGCTGTCTGTTATCTTGTTAGTAATTTGGCAGTTTATCTCATGTTCTTTTGCATCAAATAAGAAATTGAAGCCAACACATAGCTTCTGTTGATGACATTTCCTGAAACATTCAATCTGATTGGGAACAGCATGAGTTGAAATGATATCTTTCGGTGCAAGAATCTCACCTTAAAATAGAGAACAAAACAGAATACATTACAATAGGTGTAAATTATGCACAAAGATAACAAAGTTAATTTTCTAGTCAGTATATACATAATAAAATTAAAATTTACAAAATTCAATGAGACAGGAAGCAAAAGAAAGTTTCCAATTATCTCCGTTTCTTAAAAGTAACCAATCATCATTTATGTTCAAACGTAAACGCAAACATTTCTGTACGTATATTACATAGACGGGGTGATACAATGGTAGCTAAGATATAGCCCTAAATTTCCCAAATTGTATTTTGCGTTTGAAACGTTATCAGTAGATTTTTTTAGTAATTTTCATGACAAAAATCATATAAACATGCAAAAGAAACTTATTTCGTTCATAACATGCAATCCACACGGCAAAAATATAAAGACTTTTGTTGCGTTAATTTATAAATGAGATATGAACATGTTTTTAACGTCTAGCGTCTTAAAGTTCCTGAAATTCTCTCAGGGTATAAGGGAGGGTGGGTGAGACAACTCTCCAACTTTCGCAATCTTTGGACTAGTTGGGCAAGTTTCAGGAATTTGTTGGGATAATTTTCATGGTTTCACTGTTCCATTATTTTAAAAAGTACAACGGGCAAGGTTTTGTACTCGTGTATATAAAATCTGATTACAAACCATTAAAAATTTTGAGATGAAGCCCTACAAATTCTTTGGCAAATGCATGACGTGTCAACATGTTATGTGGAAACTCCGTTTTGTTTTACTGAAAGAAGCTCAGCAAAAGCAGCCAATAGTGTCAATTTATTGTTAGTTTGCAACATTAAATTCTTTGATCGTATGTTTGTATAGTTGCATTCACATTATTGTGCATGTTAATTTGTCCGTGTTTTTATCCGTGTATAATTTATTTTCTCCTAAGTCCAATTTGTATCACATAAACAAACCTGAGTTCAACGAAGATTCAAATTCACACGGGCACTTTTTTGGGTTTGCTGACCATTAAAACCCATGTTTAACCTTGGTTTGACTCAACCCATATCGAGAAGTGGAATGAATTAAACCCAGGTCAAACCTGTGTTAATAGTGTTCACACGCAAAAAAAGGCATACACGCATTCATTTGAATCTTGGTTGAGATTATGATGTTAAAAAATGCATGCTCCGTGCCTGATAATGTCGTGAATGTTAGCACATTCCAGTAATAAGAACTGAGATCAGGAACTTGTTATGTTAAATTAATAAGAGCTGTCGAAAAGTGGTTGGTTTGTTGTTGTAAAAGAGTTGTGATAAGAATGATGTGATTTGAGTGAGATCAACAATAAAAGGCAATTACTCAAGTTCAGTTTGGACTTCTACTAACTAATTGTGGGAATCGAACAAAATTCACCACAATAGAGATTAAACGTCTCGATAGAATTAAATATCAACGTCATGATAGAATAATAATGGCTTCTTATTTTTCTTATTTTTTTATGAAGCATTTGGACTACGTAGCCAATACTATAAAATTATGACAAACAAGAGCATTACATTGAAGCAATTGTATAATGTGTAGCTCCTTACTCATTTGGACAAACAGTCAACCAACCACAGTCAATTAATGTCTCAAAGTATTGTATTAAGTAAATACGTGACTGATTTGTTCTTATGTGAATTTTAAAGTATACTTGTTCAAAAATCTATTGTTTTCATTCATTAGTTAAACTACTGAAACGTCATGTCTAAAACATATACAAAGTTTATTAAACTGGAAATGCTTATGTTAGAAAATATTTGGAGAAATACTTACTTGCAAACCTCCACCTATATAGGAAATATTACACAAATACTACATTTTATGCATGATGGTAGTTCTAACACTTCTTAAAAAGAACTACGAGTTACAAGCATTCTATCTTACATGCCCAGTATAATTTAAAATAAAAGATGTTTTGCAAAAAAGATTTTGTTTTTTCTATAAAACAACTATAATCGAAACGAATGAATTTAAAAGAAATTTTTTCATTTTTCTTTATACATGTATTGATGATGAATTTCTAAATTTTCTTGAATTGATTTATTTGACAAAGATCAAATCATTAATCTTAAAATACATGGAACGCTACCTTAAGAGAATTTTTGAAGCCAAACTTTACACCAGATACGCGTGTGTAGTGTTTCGAGACTCTCTCGCGGAGTGAAAATTGATTGACTACACACGCGTGTCTGGGTGTAAAATTTCGCTTTAAAAAATTATTAGGCTTTTCAATTACTGGTAGCGTTCCATGTATTTTAGTTCAGTGGTTCAGATCGACCTCCACATTTTCACAGGCAAAAGTAAACCCAGCTGTACACCAAGCTGCGTACGCGTTTTATATTGTTGTTGTTTTATAAATGACCGATAAAAAAACATTTCTCTTTTTGTTCAGTAAAATATGTTCAAAGAAAATGTTATTAAAATAAAAACAGACAAACAGAGTTATTTGCGTGGAATATAATTCATGTATTGTAGGACGTCAGGGACGCCGGAACGTCGATAATTGAAGGGAGGGGGGAGAATATTTATATATTCGTAGTCACATCTCCTAGAAAACAATTGATTTCAAAGGAAAGTAATCATCTGAAACACACATATATGAATATTTGCCCTCCTCCCAAATTTCGACGTTTCGACGTCCATGTAGAACGTTGAATGCTCCACTAGCACGTACACAAACGTGTTTATATTTTTGCAGTATGTTTTTTCAATTACTCCTGTGTGAATTTTATTTTGATAAGATTGCCTTTTCAGTATAATGGGATGATGTTATGGTCCTCCTGAAGGCTAAAGTTGAGGTGTAGTTAATAAATCTTCATCTGCTTGATTACTATCCTTTTTTTCAGGAATACGCCCATTTTCGAATAAAATGCTTAAATCATTTCAGGCATTTTTCCGAGGAGAAGCCTGGAGACAAGTTGCGTCATGATAATGGTAAAATCCATTGTGATATTTAGGGTGAATTTTGAGCTCGTCAAAAGTTGCTGATAAACGAGAAATTCATTTTTTGGTGATTAGAAAGAATATCATTCAGATGTAGCAGGTATGTAAATTATCTCTACCAACACAATTGTTTGTTTGCATCTTCATTCAAAGTCTTCTTGAATAACGTGGTTTCTTTTGATTTTCTAATTACTAACAGTAATGGGCTTAAATGTAACGTATGTATGAATGTGTCTTTGACGGCGTCTTTTTTTATTCATTCTCAAGGCAGGGTGATCTGGATTCAAAAAACTGCAATGATTTCTTTTGCTATTGTGTTATTGTTTATAGCAGTAATTTAGAGTTTCATATCCACAAAATTGGATTTACTTTTGGTTTCACATTTCATTTTAAAGAAAAAACAACATTAACATATGACAGCATTTTGCATTTATAATTTAAGAGTTGGATCATTTGGCTAGAAACTTTAAAACTTACTACGCAAGCGAGAGCATAATTTTCACGCTGTGTCTACACAGACTGTTCATGATACTTTGCTTTTATTTTATATGTGGTGACAATTTGGAAATTCCTTATGAATATATACAACAATCCCTCCACCACCTCCCCTAACGTCAATCTATTTGGCATTTATCCCTTGTTACCTCTATTGCTTGACTTGCTTTGGCTTGCTTTGACTTGACTTTACTTTGGAAAACCGGTTGAAAACTCTCCCAGAGAGTGCTCACTACTGTCTTGTTGTAATTCCTGACTATAATAAAGTTAAAGTAAGGCATTAACAATTTCTTAAAGTTATGTTTGTATGTTTTAACAACAGTGTTATGACCTTTAAACCAGGATATAACCTTTATACTCCTTGATTTGGATTCCAAAATGACCAAAATATATTTTTTATACATAAACATGCCAATTGGCGAATATAACAATCACTCCAAAGATATGAAATAGTGCAAAACTGTGTTAATTTGTGTGTGAATTTCTACACAAATTCTCAAATTATTAATAACTGTAATGGTGTAACTCTAAAAACTCAACAACAAACATTTAGACATATTGTGTTGTCTGTAGGTGCTGTGCAAACATTCTCTTGGATGTGAACAATATTATTGCATGATAAACCAGATAATATATAGAATAGTCGCATAACGTGCATGATAAATCCAAGATGGCGTGGGAAAAGAGACAAAAAAACGTCAAAATTTTTTGCAATATATTTTCACCACAAACGTCAAAGAAATGAGAGAAAAGACGTCGCAGTAGAACTATATCAATAAATCTGCATTCATTTAGAACAAAAATAGAAATTTGTTTTTTTCACAACAGCATTCTTCAAAGCAAAAACTACAAAACCATTCCAACACATATAATTTGTTATCCCGAATTATTCTTAATTTTAGTCTTTCCTAGGCAAAAGCATATCACACAAGGCCAAAATATTACCATTAAGGCATTTTGTGATTATCTAAAAGCGCATTTAGTCGAAGAAATAATGCGCAGCTTCTGAACATAGGCAATACAACATTATTAACGTAACATTAGAATCATATAATTACCTAAATCAGCTCTAATTTTTAGGGAAAATATTAAAAAAATTATTATTTCACCACAGCATTTTTAACAATTTTTTCAACGCTTTTTTAAATGATAAGGATTATAAAGGTTCTTTAAAAGACATAAAAGCTAAAATGTTTTTATTATATGATGAAAGTTTCATTAGAAATAATGATTAAATTTATAACATCACAGCCTTTGGAAATTCTTTATGGTTTTATTTTCATCTCAGTGAACTTTAAGGATTTATGACCTTTCCAATGACTCCAAATCACACCTTTGTCACTACTTTGGTTGCCACTATAGTAGTCGCCATTCAGCTTAGAATAATAACAACTCTTATACCACCAAGCACCTTTGAAGCGTGTGGCACAGTTTAATTCACGAGTCTTATCATTATCTGAATCTTTTGTTGAAAACGCCATGCCTTTATGATAAGATAATGAATCTCCAGCAGTTCCTAAGAAAAGTAATACCTTTCAAAAATTGCATTTAATACAGTCATAGAATTCTTTTGAACTTGCATTAACACAAGACAAGTTTAATGTATATATCATTTAGGCATTGGCACTTGCATTCACAATTGATTACCAGGGTCTTACATGTAAAAAGGACTTCAGTCAATCTTCATTTGACAATGGTATTCACAGTAAAGATTCTTTCTTATGTACAAAAAAATTTAGTCGTGTTTTATTACCTACATGATGTTCAGGCGCGAGCTTATCATTGGCCGTTTTTATACTAGACACGCATAATGCGTCTGAACGAGCTTGGGCAAGAAGTTTTCTTCGTCTGGTTATGCGTCTTAAGTGTAAAGACGGGCTCAAACGCATTATACGTCTAGATGAATAGTCAATGGTTATTCGTCTTTGTAGACGAGGAATCGAACATATCCAAATCGTTTTAATTTAATGCTAATATAATTTTTTTCCTATTTACCCTTTGAACTTTGTGCTTTGATTGTTTTTATTTGCCTATTGACTTACCAGAATATTTACCAAGGCTTAATTGATATTTTTTGTTTTCATTCTTTACTGCAAAATAATCATATTCAGCATATCTTTTGTTTCCTGACCAATCTCCCAGGTCTACACGAAGTTTATTTCTCCTTGAAGATGTTAGTCGGTATACTTTATCCAATCCAAGCCAGAATTCGCCTTTCAGATCACCAAAACCTTGTTTATAGTCTTTCCAACCTCGAGAGAAGTTTACACTTCCATCTTGACGTCTTTGAAATACAGTCCAACCTCCACCAGATGACTTCATATCACAGAAAACCTTAAAGTGACCCTGACCATCAGGATTAATTTGATAAACTCCGTTCTTTTTTTCACCTTTTTTGTAAAGATCTGCACAATTTTTCCCTGGTAATGTAAACAAATAGATCTGCCATGAAATAATATGTTGTTAATTGTCACTCTTGATATCTTAAAATCATTCTTACCGTTTAGTGATTTTCCTGTGAGTTTTTTATTTTCTTTGTAAAGAGTTTTCAGTTGTTTTTCAAGTTTTTTTAGCTTTGTTTGAATTGTTGCTATTTGCACATCCAGTTTTTTCATTTTTAATGACAGCTTAATCATTTTAAGCTCAATTTTCTTAATTTGCTTTTGCAATTTTACTAATTTGTACGTTTGTACATGTGTCTTATTGATTTTGGAATGAAGCGCTATTTTAAATGTTTCAAGGTGCTTTTTTTGTGTTTGTAGATTTTTGTGATATTTTTTCAGTGTCTTTATTTGCCCTATTATTAATGCAATTTGTGTCTTTAATGTTACATTTCTTTGAACAACTTTCAAAGTGCGTTTCATGTCAAAGTTGAGCGACGAGAAATTATTTTTGAAATTAATTTCTTTTTCACTTGTTAACTTTGCTCTATGAAGTAATGACGGAAATGAGATCAATACACAAACTCCCCTCAACAGATCACAGCAATTACCGGCACCTTACAAACGACTTATTCACAAGACAAACAAACGATCAACTAAAAACATTACACTTCACATTAATTCACAATGACAATACACAATTAACACCCACACATTACAACTAAAAACAACACACCTAAATCACACATCACAACTAAAAATAAAAATTTTTCACTTCACACTAATTCACAATGACAACACACATTTCTTGTACACAATACAATACGTAAGAACAACACAATACGTAAGAACCAGATAACAAATACGTCTAACCTGACGTTTACTCCTCACTTGACTATGAAGATGACTACCGCTAAGGTTGTCGAAACGTCAGTCAACAGCAACAAAAACAGTCCTTCTCAGGACTATACCAACCTGGACGATCGACATTTACAAACATGTAATACTTACTTTCTTTATTACTATATCCCTTACGACATAATATTCCTCTAATCATTGATTTAATATAGCCAAAAAATGAAATTGTTTTAAAACAAACTCGTAAAAAGTTTGATGACTTAACATAGTGCAGCTAACTGAAAATGGCTTAATGTTTATTTACGCGTTAAGATACGCCGTAAAACCTCATAGAGACATCTATAGCGTTCAACAAAGTTATTCAAAAATCCCAAAATTGAACTTAAAATATGATTACTTACCCTTCAATAATAACACCAATACAAAAAATTACGACCAACGCAAAAGTATATTTTGCCATTTTATGATATGTGATTGATATCCACAAGCTTGAAGTGAGGACAAGATCATGAAAGCTCTATTTATGTATTTGGGTCAACTGTATTTTAATAATTTGTTGCCAACTATCGATGATGCATGCACGTAATTTCATGTTAAGTATTCATGAAGAATAGGATGGTTTCAGCTGATAATAAAAGAGTTTAATTATTTAAGATTTAGACAGTAGCCATTTTATGTTCATGCAATGTTTAAATGACGAATTATGCGCCACCATTTTATTGTATATAGTCAAACTTTGATGTAAATCAACTTGCACGAAAAAATTTCTGTTGTCTTTAGTATGAAAAGCAATTTTACTAATTATAAGGAACAACAAACACAACAGTTTGTCTACAGTTTGTCTACAACTAAAAATATTGCATCATATATATGGAATTTGTAGTTCATTACACATCCTGTTGTTTACTTATTTGATATTTTGTTGTATAAAACATAGCAAATTTACAAATTATATAAATTTTTATGCCTAAAACTCAACCCAACTGTATTCCTGTCTACAAGTGAAATGTATCTATCTTTTGATATTCTGTCTCAGCACTCAATTGAATTAAGTAATTAATTTATTTGCACGACTTACAAAGAAACCTTTATAACGTGGCACTCGATACAGATCATTTTCAAATACACCCATTTTGTGTACATACTTTGATGCAGTAAAATGGATTACAAGCTGTATTTCGCCGTTGACCATTCTTAAAACAAATTACTTTGCAGCTATATTGAACCAAACTGGCGGTAATTTCCTAGCTGTCTCTAGTATAAAAGTTATATAAATACAACTCCAAGTTTGAAAATTTGTAATCCAGGCATTGAATACATAAAAGATAAAAGTTTCTCCGGATTTTAAATGATTTTTATTGAGCTTTCGACTCGTTGCTTCGAGCCTTCATCAGAATGAGGATATTTATTTACACGTGCTTTTAGCTTGGAGACGTTTAGAGCGTCTAATTGGATTAGTGGGTGGATTAATGTGATTGGATGGGGAGAAATGCGTTGCCATGGGTTTTGGTGTATTGTTAATATGATTGGTGTTAATAATATTAGAGTGTAGTGTTTTAGTTTTGGTGTTGTTTGTAGTTTTTTTGTCCTTTTTCTTTAGTTGTGAGTATATGAAGGGTATGTCGATATGTCTGTTTATTGTGTCGCTGTCTTCATTGTACCAAGCTTCTTTAAATTCGCGTGCGTGTTTAGTCTGTGCGCGTCCGAGTAGTTTAGTTTCTGTCCAGTCGAATGTGTGGTTGTTTCCGTGGGTATGTTCTGCCGGTAGTGAGTTCGGATCTCGTCGTTTTATGGCGTTTTTGTGTTCTGTGAGTCTTGTTTCAATTTTCTTAGATGTTTGTCCTATGTATTGCGTTGAACAGTCAAAGGCATCGTTACAGCCGATACTTTTATTAATAGAGTGGAGATTATGAATGAGTTGATTACACATCCTGTTGTTTACTTATTTGGTATTTTGTTGTATGAAACATAACAAATTTACAAATTATATAAATTTCTATGCCTAAAACTCAACCCAACTGTATTCCAGTCTACAAGTGATATGTATCCTTTTTTTTATATTCTGTCTCAGCACTCAATTGAATTAAGTAATTAATTTATATGCATGACTTACAAAGAAACCTTTAAAACGTGGCACTCGATCAGATCATTTTCAAATATAGCTATATTTTGTGTATATACTTTTGATGCAGTAAAATTGGTTACAATCTGTATTTCGCCGTTGATCATTCTTAAAACAATTTACGCTGCACGAAGTTATTTTGCCTTTAACACTTTATAAAGTATTAAAGTTTATTTCTAATGAAGTTTGTTAAGTATTCTGCTGAAAGTTTTCGTTGAGCATTTCTTTGAAATGAATATATTAGCTGTTTCAGTGAATATCCTAATTATAATATTTTATTTTTAAATGATGAACTAAAAATACAAAATACAAAATGGAAAATAAGAGTTTCTGTGATTTGGTGTAGTTGTTTGTTTTAGTGTGGAAGTCGCTAAGAATTGAGAAGTTTGTAAATTGAACAATTTTAGAACATAACGAGAAAGCATCTTCGATTAAAAAACAAGCTTTGGAGTAAGAAAACTATTGAAACTGCATTAGCACGAACTTTGCAATGTTATTTGGCCCAAAAACAATTCTCTACTTGAGTCAGTTAATTGAACCTTATATCAAAAGCAGTTCAGCACAACAATCACAATACGCAATCAAATTTCGTAAATTCGATTTAAGGCATTTCTTTCATGTTTTTCGTAATCCTCGATTCTAGCGATATGAAATGACATTTAGTATCCGTCAACAATCAGTTATTACACACTTATCCATAAAAGAATGCAATATTATCTCAAAATACTGTATTACTAGCAGTAATTTACGGTGGCCCAGATGTGCAACACACAAACACAAATTCAAATACACAAACACAAAGTTTAATATGCAAAATTCATATCCGGTTAATTTGCCAGCCAAATGTGTTCTGAATTTACAAAGTTGCTGAAGTGCAGAATATTGTCATATTCTCATATTTTCGTTTTATTTCGAGAAAGTAAGATGAATACATATATTTGTGAGTATTTATTACATTTAGCGTTCATGTATATGTTCGCATTATCTTTCCCGGCTGTGGGTAATGGACTCCGTCGATTTCGACGTATGAGGGTTCCACAAAGTGGAACATCCTGGTTACTTAAGTGAAGGCAGCTGACCAGACTACAATCACTCATACCTTTCACGCAACTACAACGCTGACATCAGCGTGACACAGTGTGACAAGGCTGCAACATTGCAGATGCAGATACAGTCCATCCGAGGACATAGTTTCCTCTACCAAATTTCCCTCACATGGCTTTGGTCAACCCGGGCTAGGTTTACAGACACATTGCCAGATGTGCCACGAGCCGGGATTGAACCCGCGCCGTCTGGCTTACAGCTCACGCAATTAACCATTCAGCCACCCGCCCCGTCCGGCTGTGGGTAATGTGAACTTGAACACCATGTTATGTACAGTATGCGGGAGTTCACTAAATACATGGGGTAATTTTTGGGCTAACTGTGGGATGGATCTTCGAAAGTCTGACGAATCAAAGACGTTGCGGAACAGTGATCCATCAACATCAGCTGAGCCTTCTACTGATCCTCGTGCCACCAAACCTTTGACTTTTAAAGAGTATTTGGCAGATATTTCATTTGCCACTGTTGAGACAAGGAAGCGTCTAGATCGTTTTGTCTCCACGAAAAAGAGGAAGAAGGATGAGACTTACAAGGTTTGTGATTATTACTACCTCTGCAAATAGGTCATGTCAATAATTAGATGGGTGATGGTAGTGAATAATTATATTCAATGCTTGTTTTTATGTAGATATTACTTATGTAATTCCCACCTATTTAAGCTGAAATATAAAATGCTGCTATAGGAAATTTGTTTTTTTTTGCAGTCATTTGAATCAACACAATAACACTTATGTTGCATGCTTTAAAAATCAGGCTCGGGTTTTCATGGAGAAGGATGGAATAGTATTTTCCATTAAAATGTCTAATTATTTTTTCATTCTTCATCAACCATTTTGTGATGGCAGGTCATGAACACCTAGTAACTGGATATTTTTTCCACCCCAGATAAACATTGGAATTATTGAGCTGGATGGGAATCATTTGAAAATTAAGTGAGTCTCACTCCTTCCTATTGATGTAAAAAAAATGTGATTCTCATGCTGCTATAAAAACTGCTGGGCTGGAGAAGTAACTGGCTCACAATAAGCAACTCTGTGATGAAAGTTCCGAATGGGTTTTGTTGTACCCAGATGTGGAGTTTTATATTTACCAAGCACAACAGAAACATTTTCTGTGGAAAAGTACAAGGATTCCCTTAGCAGGCCATGCAGTAGTGTCAATTTTTATCTTTGCAAGACTTTGGATTATGAAAGTGAGGAGGTTTTCTATTAATTATTAAAAACACTTTGTTAATGTATAGGCAATTATCTTAATGTTAATTAATACCTAATTATGAGCATTTAATAATCCAAGCAATTCTGTAAGGTCAAGTATATAATAATTTTTGCACTATTTGGTTAATTTTATGAAACTATCATGATACAAATAAAATTAAACACTTACTTTATAAGGAGCTAATACTAAATATTACATATTAATACTGACAACATTTATTGTGATGTTATACTTGAGATTTCCAATATGAGTGCATAAGGAAATCAGCAAAAGTGTGTTATGCAACAATCTTTATTTAAATAAATTACATATTTGATAAAAATACAAATATTTGTTTTGTAGTTGCTAATGAATTAGTTGATGATGTTGTGGAAGAGCAATTAGATTTGGAAGAAATCAGACTAACAAAGACTCAAAATGAATCATTGTGCACAGAACTACAGCTTGGTGAAGAATCACATTCCACAACTTTGGTTGGACTGTAATCTATTGATGATGCAACTTTAACACCACATGCACTAGAGAACCTCCAAAATTGTGATGTTTTGAGATGAATACTTTCCAAGGTTTGTGAGTACTATATAGTCTACTTGTTCTTGTCTGTCTTTTTACGGAAAAGATGTTCTAGTTACATATTATAGAAGAAAAATATCCACTAATTTGATGTTCCATTAATATTTCATGAAATGATGAGTGGGTATTGTGATGATGGTGCAAAATACCATTGTGAATTCATTCAAAGAAAGTAGATGAATCGAATTTGAAAATAGAACAGTCAGAAATGTTGTGGCTTATCACCCATCTTTACTATATTAAGTGTTGTACATTGCAAGTGAAAGTTCTGAAGGGTCTACTTTTGTCCCAGAAAGTATGGCAAATGAGGTTATGGAGCGAGAAGTGTTGCTTATTCATCGTTGTAATGTGAAAGCTGACTTGCTGCACTATTTTGAGAAAGGTGATATTTTAAAGAAGTGTGTGGATGTCAAGATGATAGATTCCAAAGGTGTCGAGGAAAAGAGTGAAGGAGTCTGTGTAGTCAGGGATGCATTTTCTCGGTTTTGGAATGAAATATATAATAGTTTCATGTTAGGCGAGGATAAACGAGTCCCAGAGAAGTGGCAAGCGATAGCTAGAATTCTTGTGAATGGCTACACTCAAGAACGCTATTTTTGAATCAAAATTTCTCGCGTTTTCTTGTGCTCCTGTCTTTTTGGCGAAGATTATGTCTCAGAAGATATGTACCTGAGTTCTTTTATGAAGTATATTTCGACCACTGAGTCTAGTGTGGTTAAAAATGTACTTTCTCATTCTCTTGCAGTTGATGATGAAGATGTACAGGATTTCTTAACAGCGTTTGAGTGCAAAAAATCTAGCGTTTATACAGCGTTTGCGTATAGCTTTTTCCCCTCGGTGTTTTGCCGTATATATGTTTTTCCCTCATTGTTTTGCCGTATATATGTTTTTCCCTCGGTGTTTTGCCGTATAAATGTTTTTCCCTCGGTGTTTTGCCGTATATATGTTTTTCCCTCGGTGTTTTACCGTATAGCTTTTTCCCTCGGTGTTTTGACGTATAGCTTTTTCCCCTCGGTGTTTTGCCGTATAGTTTTCCCTCGGTGTTTTGCCGTATAGCTTTTTCCCTCGGTGTTTAGCTTCCGGAGGTATTATGTATTCCAGGTCGAAAATCACGCAAATATTTGTGTTTTTAACAATCTTATAAAATCTTGCACAAAAGCTGCTTTTTATCGGCCTCGAAATCGTCCCGAATGTTTGTTGTTTTTATATCACCTAAACTCTTCTATATTTTAGGTATTTTTCTTCCGTACGTATTTACAAGCTTATAATGAAACGAATGAAATCACGTTAGACGAGATTGAAAAAGTTATTGACGAAGCTGACAGGTAAATTTTATAACAATCGTCCTCTTATATTAATATACCGCAAGATAAATTTTAAAATTCTTTTTTAGGTTTCTATGGGTACGTATGCCTTGACTGATTCAGTGACGTAGTTCTCGTTTATTTAAGGTTCAGTTAAGTCAGTTTAGAGTTTACTGACACCATTTAGGTCAGTTTTAAGTATACATAGGGCTTGTCAAGTTATAACTGATGCAATTGATACATAACTTTTGAAAGCAATTATCTTTTTTATTACATCGCCCATTGGTGTACTTATTTAGCCATTGTATTCAAATGCTTACATATTGGCGTCGGTTTTGTCTTTCTGCGAATAAATGTTTTAATTTTACGTATATGTTTTAAAAATTTCTGAAATAACATCATTCAGCTTTGTTTTTCTTTTCTTCTATAGATTGTCTCTTCTTTCTCATTTCTTTTGGGCAATGTTTTCAATTCTTCAGAGTTATAAATCCTCGATCAATTTTGGTTATCTCGTAAGTAGATGAACAGTTAAATAGTGTTGTTTACCGTTAGATTTACATCACGTGACTGAATTTGGCTTTTTCTTTGTTGTATTGTCGTACCGTGGTATTGTATCCTAAACACCATTTGCTATTTTTAAAATACCATATCTTATAAGGAACATTCTACATCGAACAATCTTAGAAATGTGCACCACCACTTCATCAACTTTTTGCATTTAGTGTGCGTTATTTCTTTACAAACATTTGTGTAAATGCATGGTCTTTTGCACCAAGTTCTTTCCATGTGGATTTGTTTAGAACAGATGTTAGTCAGCAATATTGTCTTATGCGTATGTATCAAACTTGTACATAATGAGCGCTATCATTGTGAACAAACGTAAAAGCAACGTAACACTTTGCGAAGATTTCTGATAAGTTTACAAGAAGGATTTTGTGTTTAAATTTTTAGAATCAAATCACTATAAAGTAAATCCCATCCGCAGTAGTAACCATTCAAAGGATCTTGAGTATGTTTTATTAATCTGTCATATAAGGTATTAAGAAGCGTCAGAAAATATATGGAGAAATACTTACGTGTAAACCTCCACCTATACAGGAAATGTTACGCAAATACTACATTTACTGCATGATGACAAATTTCCGTACCTTTCATAAAACCAAATTGTTTATGACGATTTTTAACTTTTTCGAATGTAGTCCCTGCCTCATCAACTGCCTTTTGTATTGTTTCATGTTTCTCCTTTGCCGTTGTATTCATTCCCTGATCGTAATAAGACTTCAAGATAGCTTTTTGCAAGTCAATAATACTTCATACTGTATTCCAGTTACCGCCATCTATATATGGTACAGTGTGTCGTGTGCATGTCGTGTGTTGATGATATATAAATTGGTGCATATATAAATTAAATATGGCGTCAACAAGAACGCTTTGAGGATCTCCTACAACACATACATGCGAAGTTCTCTATTTAAGAAGTCTTGCTTCAGACGATTAAGAACATGTGACATGGGTAATGATTTGAATTTTTTTCAAAATCGGCTTTTCATGACAAACTGTTATTTTTAAATAGACGTCTTACCCACAGATATCTAGAATTATTTGCAGGTAGTTGACCAATTAAAAGTGACATTGCTTACATAGTGAATAATGATGTAAGATAATTGCATGAAATGCATGATACATCAAACTTGGCGAAAAGATAGAATTATCTACTTCGTAACGATCGTTTTGCACCGGTTTCCATTAAAAAAATGCAAGCGCGTAAAAGGTGTTTCCGGTCGTTTCTGTCGCAAGGATAGAACTCTAGTCTATCTCAAACGATCGATACGCAAGGATTGTTTCTAACGTAAGGATCGCTTTTGTCGTTTGAGTTGCGCGTTTCCATATGATCGTCTCTGTCGCTTCTACAAATTGCAAGCGACAAAGACGATCCTTACGACAGGAACGATCATATGGAAACCGGGCTTTAAAGAGCAACATCTCATTAAAAAAATGAGTGAAAAGACGTAACATTAGAATCATATAATTACCTAAATCAGCTCTAATTTTTAGGGAAAATATTAGAAAAGTATTGTTTCACCAACGCATTTTTAACTATTTCATCAAGGTTGTTTTAAAAGACATAAAAGCTAAAATGTTTTTATTATATGTTGAAAGTTTCATTAGAAATAATGATCAAATTTATAATATCACAGTTTTTGGAAGTTCTTCATGGTTTTATTTTCATCTCGGTGAACTTTAAGGATTTAATACCTTTCCAATGACTCCAAAGCACACCTTTGTGATTGTTTTCGTTGCCACTATAGTAGTGTCCATTCAGGTTAGAATGATAACAATAGTTATACCACCAAGCACCTTTGCAGTCAGTGGCACAGTTTCCTCCACTTTTATCATTATCGGAATCTTTTGTTGTAAACGCCATGTATTTATGAGAAGATAATGAATCTCCAGCATTTCCTAAGAAAAGTAATACCTTTTAAAAATCGCATCTAATGCAGTTATAGAATTCTTTTGAACTTGCATTAACACAAGTTTAATGTATATATCATTCAGGCATTGACACTTGCATTTACAATTGATTATTAGGTGCTTAGATATAAAAAGGACTTCAGTCAATCTTCATTTGACAATGGTTCTTTTGTCTTTAATGCGTTCGGTGCCAGAGCCCTCTATTTGTAAGAGTTAGGACAGCGGGTCTGGGGTGAGCGTGGAGCCGCCATTTTCGTGACTACTTGCAAGTTAAACTTGTAATAAAACTGTGTGAAATTGGTTAATGAGCAAAAGAATAAAGAAAGTCCGCCCTGTTCAATGGAAATTTTAAACATATCGGAAACCACAATCAAGCTTTTGGCTTTTTTCTGAATAATTTTTGCAAACCAAACTCAATTCCGCAGATTTTAGCTACATTGCGGTTGACTAGTTCGTGCTTTGAAACTAATCGTGACCCACTGCTAGACGTTTTTACGTATGTGAACGTATATTCTCGCAGTTTTCAACTGCAGCACCAAGATATTTGTCTTCATTGCTTATAATTTACCAGCGATAAAGAAAATACTCGACATTTTGGCTGCATATTCCTGTTCGGGAAAACACGTTACTACACATATCTCCAGATTTGAATCAATGCTTTGACAGGTATAAGGTATGTAAAAATAAATCACTGCAGCTCATTTTTGGTTATATTTACATTTAGAAAACGTAGAGGTGACTTAACTGGTAAAAATATATTCTTTAGAAATTCACCACTAATAATCTTATTCTAAAACTAAAAAGTATTTTGAATTTACAATTAAGCTGCTATAATTTATTTTGACTTAAACTGTGCCTACCATTGAATCAGTGTTATCCAAGTTTTGTTTTGAAGCACTGTGGTCGTGAAATTTTGCTTAGGCAGTACATATTTCGCAATGTAGTCCAGGCATAAAAATTTAATGCAGATCGATTACAAAAAATTTTCTCGGAAAATTATGAATTTAAAATATTTGTTAGATGCAGTAGCTCTTATATTCTATTAATCTAATGTGAAGTTGTTGATTTCTTATTGATTGTGAAACTGAGATTATAGTTAAAGTTTAACTCTAATGCAAAACGGTATAGGCTTCTATTTGGTGAAGCATTTGTTGAAAAGGAAATTATGTTTGTGTATTATAAAACAATTCTGCTGTTGAAGAACAGTCTTGTTTGCTACAAATGTCACTGTTTGTACAGACTTTGACATTGTATATGAGTCTGATCCAAGTTTTAATCTATCTTAAAAAAATAATAAGTTGAGTAATGACAAAACTTCTGCATGTTTTCCAAATTATAAAGACCAAAGACCACACCAAATCATTGATTATGTAAAGACCAGAACAAATCATTGATAACCAAATTGAACATGCTCTGGTTTGAAGTACAGTCAGAATGTGTATTTCATTACCAGTAATGTATTTTACCCAGCTGTTTCAGTAAATATTTTATTTATGATTACTGATACTATACTTTCAAAGGATTTCCTAAAGATGCAAAATACAATATTCGAAAGTATATTATTTTAGCATATTGGATTAGCAATAATTATCTCTTGAAGTGGTTAAGAACTTGTAAATTAGAGTAATTTCCGAACATAATGATAAGTCATAATCTTTCTATAAAGAACAGGCTTTGTATGTAAGAAAACTATTGAATCGTTAGCATTAGGAGAAATATTTCCAATGATTTTTCACTCGAAAACAATCTTCGTAAATAAACCTTTAGATAAAGATCAGTTAGACACAATGGTCACTACACACAATCCAGTCTATCGTAAAGCCATTTCTTTCTTTTTTCTCGATCCATAATTATGGCGATATGCAGTTACATGTTTTAGCTATCAAATAATCAATTATTGTAGCCATACCTCCAAAAAATCAAAATATTTTCTCAAAACACAAACAAACTTGTAGTAATCGCCATATAAACACTAGTTGAAATTTTAAAATTAGGAACAAAAATGGCGGAAATTAATCATGTGATCGATATTGTCCAGTAAACGTTCGCAAACCAGAGAACAATACATGTCCCAACTCTTACAAATAGAGGGCTCTGTTCGGTGTATGTAAAGTTTGACGTATGAAACAGACCTTACTTCATGGCGTACCTGGGTATTTTCCGAGGCTCAATTGATATATTTGTGTTTCATGCTTATAAATGTGAATTGTCCATGTAAACTTAAATAAATTTCTGTTATGTTTTAGGTTGCTGTTATAAGTTCATAAAAAACTTTCAAATGTAAGAACAAGTTATAATGTATATATCATTTAGGCATTGAAACTTGCATTTACAATTAATAACTAGGGGCTTACTTGAATGCTTGCATTGTATACAAAAGATTTCAGTCAATGATCATTAGACAATGATATTCACAGTATAGATTCTCTCTTATGTACCAAACAATTTAGTCGTGTTTATTAGCTACATGTTGTTCAGATGCTAGGTTATTACGTAATTTACAAAGCTGCAGTTGAGTTTGCATTTAATGTTGATGATAAGCTAATCACAATCATTACATGTCACAATCAATCTTTGTAACAGAATCATTCGCAAATTGGAACGACTTTTTACGTTTGTTTGTTGTGTTTTTTCGGTAAGTTTTTAAGTTCAAAATTAATTATACTTTAATTGACAAACAAGGCTTTAGTTCGAAACCAACCGTTACTATCCGTTTTTATCAAAACTTGGAGAATCCCCCGTTGTAAACTGCAATCACTCATATCATTCAAAAATATTGTATATATCAAAATGTTTTTTCCTCAAACGTTTATATTAACGTATTAACTTACCAGAATATTTACCAAGACTTAATTGATATTTTTTACTTTCATTCTTTACAGCAAAATAATCATATTCAGCATATGCTTTGTTTCCTGACCAGTCTCCCAGGTCAACACGAAGTTTATTTCTCTTGGCTGATGTTAGTCGGTATATTTTATTCAATCCTAGCCAGAATTCGCCTTTCAGATCACCAAAACCTTCTTTATAGTCATTCCACCCACGATAGAAATCAACACTTCCATCTAGGCGTCTTTGAAATACAGTCCAGCCACCACCATATGAAGTCATGTCACAGTAGACATTAAAAGATCCTTGACCATCAGGATCAATTTGATAAACTCCACTTTCGTTCTTGCCATTATTTTGTACCTCACTGCAATCTTTGGCTACTTTAAATTGAAAATGTTAAAAATTCAGTTTCTCAAGGTTGTGTTATGATAGGATAAACGACTGAATTTTGTGAAAAAGTGTTTTTAAGCGAATGAAATCACTACTAGGTATTATTATTATTTGTTAAAAATTGCTTGTTTCATGTTTCACAGGCTGGAAACCTACAGAACACAAGCATTGCATGTAAGATATGGATATTATTGACTACTGTGAATTACATTTGAAGTGGGGATGCTGTTTTGCAATATACTCAATTTCAGAATATAAAGTCAATTTCATTGTAATGTGTGCTTACATGAAATTTTTTTATGTCTGAATAGAAAATTCCAGTCTAACTCTAATAGCGTTAAATTAAATAGTAAGAAAGTCATTTGAAATTTCATTAAACCCAGTAGAAATTTAATGCCATCTACTGAAAAACGTTATTACCCATTATTTACATACATTTTTTGACATTATTTATTGTACCTCTTAAAAATATTGCTCATTTAGGTTTTTAAAGGAAGTGAATTCTTAATAGTAAAACCTAATTTTCTTACATCGAAAGTTAACAAGATATTTATGAATGAACATTATCAGTTCATACCATCCATACTAAGCGGCGGATGACTAATTGCGCAGCCTGTAAGCTTAGTTTTGTTACTCATAGTGTAAATATTATAGAATAAATTCAAATTTCGAACGAGATAAACTCACTACTTTATCAGTTCTATACATAGAGCATTATAATAGTATATCGTACAGTTTTCAACAGGATATATTATTGAAATTTTGATCATTTATCTCATCTAGAATGGCAAGGAGTAAAAACTATGTTTAAAGAGAATAGGACTTTTGAAAACGCGGGAATGTAAGCTTCAGCCTACATAGCCTACTGAGTAATCGCACAACGGCCATATTTGTCTGTTCTTGGAACAAGTTCATAAAGCTACAATCCTTTGGTTGAAGACATTTGATGTAATATTATTGAGGTGCACTCATTCTAGGAGGTCTGGAAGCATGTCTGTCAAAATGCTTTTTAAAGTTTGTATTTACAGAATTCTTAGTTTAGGAAAGCCAACCAATAATAAACTCAAGACTGTCTAATATGGTGTATCTAGGTTAGAAGGACCATAGCTAGATTACTAACTTCAGGAGGAATGTTAAACCTAACCTTAACCCTCACCTTAACCCTAACCCTTCCCCCTCCTTAATGTAGAGAAAATCAAAATGTGTTAATTGTGAAAATCAAAGCGTTGCAGCTGGCGCACTTCACCTTGAGAAAGCGTCATTTCTAGCGCACCTTACAGTTTGAGAAGGAGTATACACAAATCTAAGCGCCCCAGCCTTAGCTCGCTTATGTACTTCTTATAAATATGCTAGCATAATTACAGCGAAGGTAAAACCCAGGACAACGGCAGGAGCCAAAGACGGCCGGCAAACCCCCCGCTCCCGCGATTTGAATCCAAAAGAGTACGTATGAAAATACATGAGCAAATATAAAGAAGAGAAAGTGAGAAAAAATTGAATAATATAATAATACGACAAAGAGAAGAACATCTTAAATTACAAACCAGGCTGCTAATACAAACAGGTACGATACAATTAGAAGAATAATATTTATATATTATATAGAATCGAGATGGATACTGTTAGAGAGATTCTGCAACTATATAAACAGGGTGTTGCAAGTGGAAGAGCTCTAAACTCATTCTTTGAAGCTTTTCAACCACTAGCATCTACATCAAGAAAACGTACGAATACAGCTCCACCTGAACCTCCTTGGTACCCTGTAAGCGCAGACCTATTAAGCTTAATGACGTACTAGAAAGTAAACCGCTTGTTATAACAAATTCTGTAGGTAAGGAAGCTACGTATGGAAATATGAGCGACCCAGCGTTAATACGCTATTACGCACTTCAGTTTCTAAGTGCAATTCCTCCAAAAACTAAAACTCAGACGCCTCCGGCGGCCGGTTCACCCCCTTTGCCAAACGTGAAGTGTTCTTATTCAGTTCTAAATAATGAAGGAGACCTTCGTAATCATCTAGCGCTTCGTGTAGCAAATCTTCATCAAACAACCGTTGAATATTCGGGTATTATACTTTCTATAGTGAGTGTGATAATTACTCTAGCAGTTCCCATCTGTTGAACAACTAATGTTGCATCAGTAGGTAAGTCTACATCTATAAAATCGCTATAGCTACATTCAAAGTTAATATAACCAACACGATGTGTTTTTGTTTCACTTAAGACAAGTAATTTGCTAGGAGTTTTAAGTACTCGTAACGTTCCTGCATTTTTAAAATATTTTCCACTTAATGATATTCGGTAGAATGCAGCGGTTTCGATGGTGATTGTAGAAGAATCTTCTTCACCTTTTTCACACATCACAACATTGGTCCAATCTGAAACTCTTTTTCCAGTGACTGAAGTACCAACTTGAGTGTACACATCTACTGCAATTTCTAGTCGCTTTTTGTGTTTTTCACGTCTTCTATGATTTTTTACACGACGGGCGTGGTGGTTTTTGCCGGACTTAGCAAAGCTTTGAGAGCCTCACGCTTAGGTTTATCTACGTCTGTATAGTTCCAAGAAGATATGACTATATTTTCAGCCAGAATTATCTTCTAGTTGGAATTTTTCAAAATTTTTCTCTCTATTTTGTCGTAAGTATACTTCTACGGCTCGGCGAAAGAGATCGTTTGTTGATTCAAATTCATGAGCCGAAGTTTCAGCTGCGTTAGACATTTTAATGTTTGTGTGACAAGACACAACTGAAATAATAAACACTATAAATATAAAATGAAAATTTATTGTTTTAGAATTAAGAATACTCTAAATAGTTAAGAATACTCTAATTGTACTAACATATGACATCAATTTGTTAGTGGTATCATGTACGAAACTAACATAAGGCCCCCAACTTTGTTCAAACACAGTAGATCTAATGTTGAACCACTCGTTTTGAGACCGTTTAAGCCAATTGTTTGATAATGCTATTTTATTATTTTCGAGTGTTTTTCCAGTAGGAAACGTTACTAAAGTTACATTTACTTCGCTCATACCCGGGGGGTAAAATCAATTAGGAGAGTTCAAAACAGGTTAATCTCCTTAGTCTCCTTTAAGCCAATCAGCTCCTGCCTGTCCTTGAGGTTCTTGACGTTCTGATGGCCCCTGAGGCCCTGTGGCTCCAGTATCTCCTTTAGGCTCTTGAGCCCCTCGAGGTCACGCGGGCCCTGCAGACCCCGGCTCTCCTCTTGAAACTGTTAGACCTCTAATGCCTTGTTGCCCTTGAGGTCCTTGAGGTCCCTGAGGTCCTTGACGTCCTTAAGGTCCTTGAGCTCCTGTGGCCCCGGGCGCACCATCACTTCCATTGGTCCCATCAGTTCTGTCATCTCCACTAGGACCCTCATCAACTTTCCCTCCTTTTGGTCCTCGAAGACCCGTATCTCCTTGAGCCCATGTAGCTCCTGTATCACCTTTTTCTCCCTTTGGTCCTCTAGGACCCGTATCTCCTAGAGCCCCCGCAGCTCCTGTGTCACCTTTATCTCTCTTATCTCCTCTTGGTCCTCTAGGTCCTGGTGGTTCTGCTTTTTCAGATCCATAACCATCATCAGTTCCACCGATTACTAATGTTGCCATTAGTTTGATGCGATGTTTAGTTTGATGCGATGTTTAGTTTGATGCGACGTTCATATACTTACTTTATATAATAGAAAATTTTTTTATTTATTACTGGATTTATATTTGACCGCGAGAGAAATCTATGACGAGCCTCCAGAGAGACCCGCGATTTATTTGAAAGCTTGAGCTTCACCTTCACGACGTGCGCTTTCAGCAGCGGCGGCAACAGCTTCTTCTTTTTCACATTCTAAGTTCTTATTTGTCTTTTTAATCTCTTTGAGTAGCGAAGCTACATCGGCAGCCTATTTCTTACGCATCGGATCGTTGATTTCATCTTGAATAACGCGTTTACGCTCGTTAAAACGCCGCATTTGATCTAGAACCTGTTCAAACTCTTCATGTGAGACTCGGCTGTCACTGAGAGCACGTGACGTAATATTACCAACAATCATAAGACTCGTCGCAGCAGCTTGGGCTATGCGATTGTGCTGTTTAGCCTTTTTATCAAACTTTTTACAAAGAACACGCCCAACACCTGAGATCAACCCACCAGCGACAGCAAGAGCTTCAAGAGCGGCCCCAGCCGGAGCGCCCACACCAGACAGAGTGTGAGCAATACCTCCAGTTCCTGTCACGACTGTTAAGGCACCCGATGCATCAGATAAGGTGTCGAAGGTCGAAGTAATGCGCGTGTATTTCTTACGCAGCTTATGACGAGTGTCACGCTCTTGGCGGAGCTCTGCCTCAATGTTTAAAATGCGAACAAGGCAAAAGTTGCTCGTTTCGATTGATGAACGGGGTGAAAGAACGTCTTCTACTCCTTGGTATTCATATTCACGTTTTAAACCTGGATATATTCGTGGTACTGGCCTAGGAACGTCCACTGGCTTGACTGGAGGTGCGCTTGCAGTTTCCATTTTCTGGCAGGATTATATATAGATGCAGAAAAAATTGGTCTGTTAGTCTGATGTGTTATAATTATTCTGATGTGATATGATATAATATGGCACTCATAAATTTCGACACACCCACCGCTAAAAAATCAAAGCGCCACCATTGGATGATGCCCGAAAGCCATTATCTGTTCGTAGGCCCTACTAATTCCAGTAAAACGAACCTTTTAATTAACATCATTATGTGTTGGCTTGATTGCACTAAATCAACTATTTACACAAGAGGTCGCGACCAGGAAAAATATCTGATTCTATCAGAGTTCTACGAAAGCATCGGCCTGGAAGAATGTGTTGAATTAAGAGACCCTGTTGCAGTGGCGTGCGGTCATGCAAGCGTAGGCAAGCGCCGCTTGCCTAAGCATTTTACCGAACAAAAATTTTTTGGATCAATCTCTGAGCAAAATCAGTTTAAATTTTTCTGTTCTAAACAATGTCAAT